TAAAAAAACACTATTCCAAAAAACGAATGTACAGAATTTATTAACGAAGATTCAAATGGTGTCTGGTCTATAATAATTTCCACAATCATTACTATAATTTTTATTCACTTTGTCTTTGAAATGTTGGTAAATTTATATTTCCTAAAAAAACACTATTCCAAATACGAATGTACAGAATTTATTAACAAAGATTCAAATGGTGTCTGGTCTATAATAATTTCCACAATCATTACTATAATTTTTATTCACTTTGTCTTTGAAATGTTGGTAAATTTATATTTCCTAAAAAAACACTATTCCAAAAAACGAATGTACAGAATTTATTAACGAAGATTCAAATGGCGAAATATGTCTGGTGTTGTTGGGTAGTCGATGTTACGAGCAGAGCCAACCCGTTCATTGTTTATTTCAATAGTAAATGAATGTCACAAGGATTAATTAACACATCACGGGGGAATATTTTTTGCTAATGGCTTAAATTACTTGCGGTGTAAACTTAGCTGCGGTTCGACAGCGAATTTATTTTTACACCCGTAAACGTAGTCGACAATCAGTGTTTTCCACGCTCATTAAAGTAATATTCACCGTGAAATAAAGTGACACGATTCAAATACGTAAGAAACAAAAACGAAGAATTAAACAAGAAACAAAAACGAAGAATAAACGAGAAATAAATAAGAAAGAAAATCGAGAAACGCTTCGAGAGGTTTTAAACGAGAATGGCTGAAAGTTGTTGTTGAAATGAAGAGTCTTGAGTAACAATTGGTATCGTTTAATATGAGCAAATAGAGAAACCGTGCGTAAACATATAGATTGTTTAATAATTTCAGTAAGAAATTAATGTTTCCCGTAAAGAAGATCTATCACGTGGTCGAGTCTATATGTATTGTGTTTTATCACGTTGGAACGTGATAAACGTATTCGGAACGCGTAAATTGTATTGCTAAAAGCGTCGAGAAATACAGTTTTATTGGCAGCGTACGAAACATGGAAAATTATTGGATTTCAAAACAAATTTCAAATGGGGAATTAACGTTTAAACTCGTGTCAATTTTTCGAAGTATTTCAATCTCAAATTGAGAGCTCAAAGTGGCTTTTTTTATCTCGTGAAAATTAAATCAAATTCTGTTAAATATTTTAAATTTGAGTTTATTCGAAGCTGGGGATATTTTTTGTAATTTCAGGGTAATTAGACGCGTTATTTAATTGTTTATATATATATATATATATATATTAGTAGCTTTTTTACGGATATAAAATTAAAACAAATTTCAAAAAGAGAATTAACGTTTAAACTCGTAGCAATTTTTCGAAGTATTTCAATCTCAAATTGAGAGCTCAAAGTGGCTTTTTTTATCTCGTGAAAATTAAATCAAATTCTGTTAAATATTTTAAATTTTAGTTTATTCGAAGCTGGGGATATTTTTTGTAATTTCAGGGTAATTAGACGCGTTATTTAATTTTTTTTACATATTAGTAGCTTTTGGGATTTTTATTTGATTAGAAAATTTTAAAAAATTAGATAAAATATAGGCAATTAATAATAAATTAGTAAAACTGTATTTAGAAAAATTCTAAAATTGATATTTTCAGTAAATAATTGGGAAGATTGAACGATATGAATGATATTGGATATTTTAAAGTATTTAAAATATTTTATATAAATTTATATTATTTGTTTTTGTAATTGTTGATGATTCTTTGATAATAATGAAGTGTGATATGTGTACGCCTCATAGTCTGCAACCTGGTTTCTCGAATGAGTTTCGTAATGCATGATTCAGGGGCAGTATGAAGGCAATGAACATTTACATATGTACAGTACTCGACAAAATTATTATACTTCGCGTAAAAACAAAAATGTACGTTTTAATATCTCTTATAATATGTTACGTATCTATAAAATGATAAATTTAAAAAATATATGTATATATAAATGTACATTTTAATATCCCTTATAATATGTTACATAACTATAAAATGATAAATTTTAAAAATATATATATATATAAATGTACATTTTAATATCCCTTATAATATGTTACATAAATCTGTAAAATGATAAATTTATTAAAAATATTGTTTCAACAATCTTTAGATATTTCTAATTTTCTAATACATTTATTTTGAATAGTATAGGAATAATAAGTGTAATTAAATATTCATGATATATTCATTGTAAGAATTAGAATTACTTTATTATTACATTTAATTATGACACTTTGTATATTTTTATATTTTGAATGATTAAAAAACAATAATTTACATTTTTATATATTTTCTTTATAACATATTACATCAATTTATAACTGAAAAATTTTTTAAATATTGTACTAGTAATCTTTACATATTATATTTCTAATCTTCTAATATATTTATTTAGAATTCTGCAAGAATAATAATCTCAATTAAATATTCATGATATATTCATAGTACGAACTAAAATTACTTTATTATTGCATTTAAATATGATACTTTGCATATTTTTGTATTTCGAATGTTTAAAAAACAAAAATTTATATTTCAATATATTACATAAATCTATAAATTGAAAAATCTTAAAAATATTGTATCAGTAATTTTGATATATATTTCTAATCTTCTAATACATTTATTTAGATTTCTACAAGAATAATAATTTTAATTAAATATTATAATATGAACTAAAATTACTTTAAATTTTACAAATATGACATTTTGCATATTTTTATATTTTGAATGTTCAAAAAACAAAAATATACATTTTAATAGATATTTCTAATAATATATTACATAAATCTCTAATATGAAAAATTTCAAAAATATTGTATCTACAATCTTTACATATTTCTAATCTTCTAACATATTTATTTAGAATTCTGCAACAATAATAATTTTAATACAAATATTATAGTATAAACTAAAATAATTTTATTACTACAATTAAATATGACACTTTATATTTTTATATTTAGAACGTTCAAAAAACAAAAATACACATTTTAATAGATATTCCTAATAGTATATTACATAAATTTGTAATATGAAAAATTTCAAAAATATTGTACTAACAATCTTTACATTTTTCTAATTTTCTAATATATAAATTGTTTGAATTCTACAAGAATAATAATTTTAATTAAATATTATAATATGAACTAAATTAATTCTAAATTTCAAATATGATATTTTGCATATTTTTGTATTTTGAATGTCTAAACACAAAAATGCACATTTTAATATATTTTCCTTATAATATATTACATAAATCTATAAATTGAAGAATTTTTAAAACATTGTACCAGTAATTTTTATATATTTCTAATCTTCTAATATATTTATTTAGAATTCTAAAAGAATAATAATTTTAATACAAATATTATAGTATAAACTAAAATAATTTTATTACCACACTTAAATATGACACTATATTTTTATATTTTGAACGTTCAAAAAACAAAAATACACATTTTAATAGATATTCCTAATAGTATATTACATAAATTTGTAATATGAAAAATTTCAAAAATATTGTACTAACAATCTTTACATTTTTCTAATTTTCTAATATATAAATTGTTTGAATTCTACAAGAATAATAATTTTAATTAAATATTATAATATGAACTAAATTAATTCTAAATTTCAAATATGATATTTTGCATATTTTTGTATTTTGAATGTCTAAACACAAAAATGCACATTTTAATATATTTTCCTTATAATATATTACATAAATCTATAAATTGAAGAATTTTTAAAACATTGTACCAGTAATTTTTATATATTTCTAATCTTCTAATATATTTATTTAGAATTCTGCAACAATAATAATTTTAATACAAATATTATAGTATAAACTAAAATAATTTTATTACTACAATTAAATATGACACTTTATATTTTTATATTTAGAACGTTCAAAAAACAAAAATACACATTTTAATAGATATTCCTAATAGTATATTACATAAATTTGTAATATGAAAAATTTCAAAAATATTGTACTAACAATCTTTACATTTTTCTAATTTTCTAATATATAAATTGTTTGAATTCTACAAGAATAATAATTTTAATTAAATATTATAATATGAACTAAATTAATTCTAAATTTCAAATATGATATTTTGCATATTTTTGTATTTTGAATGTCTAAACACAAAAATGCACATTTTAATATATTTTCCTTATAATATATTACATAAATCTATAAATTGAAGAATTTTTAAAACATTGTACCAGTAATTTTTATATATTTCTAATCTTCTAATATATTTATTTAGAATTCTAAAAGAATAATAATTTTAATACAAATATTATAGTATAAACTAAAATAATTTTATTACCACACTTAAATATGACACTATATTTTTATATTTAGAACGTTCAAAAAACAAAAATACACATTTTAATAGATATCCTTAATAGATATCCTTAATAATATATTACATAAATCTCTAATATGATAAATTTAAAAAAAAAAAAATTTTATTTCAACAATCTTCATATATTTATTTAGAATTCTACAAGAATAATAATTTTAATACAAATATTATAGTATAAACTAAAATAATTCTAAATTTTAAATATGACATTTTGCATATTTTTTATATTTTGAACGTTCAAAAAACAAAAATACACATTTTAATAGATATCCCTAAATATACATATATTACATAAATCTATAAAATGAAAAATTTCAAATATATTGTACCCACAATCTTTACATATTTCTAATCTTCTAATATATACATATATATTATATAATATTTGGAATACTACAGGAATAATAATTTTAAAAATAACTTTATTTACAAAATAACTGTATTTAAACAGAAACGATATTAATTTACATAAAAACAAACGTGAGTCAGTACCTATGGCGAATATTATTCCGTCATTGTTAATTAATCGAACCGATTCTACGCGTAAAGTTGCGAAATCCCGTTTACAATGCGACCGATTTTCTAATTACAGATGCCACGGTAGCAATATTTCATTCCCCTTAAGGATCGGTACTTAGCACGCTGACATTCCGTATGTATGTACATAGATAAGAGAGCCTCCAAAATCGTTTGTATCCAGTCTCGTTCAGTCAAAAAGCATCCAGCTAACTGTCACATACACTGCAAAATTAATCGATCGAAATCGCCGTTTCGACGAAACGGAAACACTATACGGGGTGGTAAGATCAAGATCTATGATCGCTAGAATATATCCTACGAATCTCTTTTTCACTCGTCAAAAACGACTTATCAAAATTATTTTTATTACTCAATTTCAAAAATTTACAATTTTCACGCCTTAACAATAATTCATATTTACATAAAAAAACAAAAAAAAATTCTTAAAAAATTCAAGCACGTAACGTAATTAATTTCTAAAATTCAAAAACGACGCAACAAAATTATTTTTATTACTCAATTTCAAAAATTTATAATTTACACGCCTTAACAATAATTCATATTTACATAAAAAAAAAAAAAAATTCAAACACGTAACGTATATTAATTTCTAAAATTCATAAACGACGCATCAAAATTATTTTTATTACTCAATTTCAAAAATTTATAATTTACACGCCTTAACAATAACTCATATTTACATAAAAAAAAAAAACAAATTCTCAAAAAATTCAAGCACGTAACGTAATTAATTTCTAAAATTCAAAAACGACGCAACAAAATTATTTTTATTACTCAATTTCAAAAATTTACAATTTACACGACTTAACAATAATTCATATTTCCATAAAAAAAAAATTCTCAAAAAATTCAAGCACGTAACGTAATTAATTTCTAAAATTCAAAAACGACTTATCAAAATTATTTTTATTACTCAATTTCAAAAATTTATAATTTATAATAATGCATATTTATATAAAAAAAAAAATTCTCAAAAAATTCAAGCACGTAACGTAATTAATTTCTAAAATTCAAAAACTGATTCTGCTCGAAAGATAATGCTAATAATGATGTAACAATTGAGTATGTAAAAATGTCTCCGTTGTTTTGACGCGCGGAAACTCCAAAAAACGAATTTAGTGAATTTCGACGATGAAGTGAAAATCGATGGGAAGTAAACGTGATTTAGAAAATTGTGATCGTTGACGAGATTCAGAGAAATTCGGTACTAGTGTGTAAAAATAGAAAATACTTTCTATGCGATGCGTGCAGACTCTACAAAAATATGACGGTAGCTAAGACTAATGGATCAACGACAATGACAACCACCACGAACGTGCCCAACGAGGATGAGAAGAAACAAAACAATGCGTTATCGATATACAAGGAGGAAGAAAAAGAAAACGACCAACTCACCCTCGAAGACTTGGCTCCTGACGGTGGATGGGGGTGGATGGTGGTCCTCGCCATGATCTTAGTTTTCGTTAGTACCAAACATTTATTTACAATAATTTTCTGTGCATCAAAATCTCAAATTCTCTACCTTTAAACTCTTCTAATTTTTATATTCGATGGGTCACTGTTTCTGTTCAATTTTTTTTAAATGAAACACCTGACTATAGAGGAGGACGGGTAAAAAATGATCCAAGATTGTCTGAGAAAGATTTCCACTCAAAGGTTCATTTATCACCCTAAAAGTGAAAAAATAAACATTCAAATTTGAAGCTCATTTATTATAGTTATTTGCAGTTATTTTATTACATCTCCGCAGGTGACAACGTTTGGACCAACCGCGTCGTTTGCAATAATTTTCGGGGATTTTCTCGAAGCAACTGGTCAGGCTGGAACAGCAATGACGTTATTTAATTCCGTTTTCATGGTGACATTCTCCATAGCTGGTACGTAAAACAAAAAACAAAAATATTCCTTGCATATTGCAAGTATCAATTACGTGTTTTCGTCGAGAAGTAACGCGAGAGAATTCGGTGGAGTGAATTGTTTTAAAATCAGCTCGCGATAACTACGTTTGTTTCTGATCTTTGTACAAACACGCCTCTACGTTTGTTTACGATAAAACCGCCTAGGCGCCAGGAAATGAGAACCGTGTCTGAAGATAGAGAGCGCGAACTAACGGAGGGAATCGTACGAAAAATATCTTTAGAGCGTAAAAATAATTATGCCTGTCGCATATTCGAGCGTCACGATACGGGACCTATATTTGTTCCCGGAGCGTGCATCCATAGAGACGAGCATAACACCGATAACGGGTGTCATTGAGGAACGTTATCCACGTCTCCGTGGATGTTTTCCTGCATCTGTGTACACCTGTATTGTGCACACGATCGCTGATAACACGTGTTTGATACCGGGATGCTGGCGCACGAGTGTATTTTCACTTTTAAAGTATCTCAAATTCGTTCAAAATTTTAGTTCACAAATATATAATCTTCTAATTATATTATTTGGGAGTGTTAAAATTGAATTAAAATACAGAGAAATGTGGGTAGATATAATTCTTAATAAAATGAATTTTAATTGTGCACACAAAAATAAAAGGTGAATATTTTGGGAAAAAATTCTGGAGGTGGATTCTAGAGGCCAAAATAAGGCGAAAATCAAGAATAGTAATTTTTTGATTCAGGCTTCGTTAAAAAGTTATTAACGTTTGAAGTTGAAGTGTGCAGCGCGCACGGTTCCCGTTTCACAGGCGCAACTTTAAACGTTAATAACTTTTAAACGAAGCCTTATTTTGGAAATTGGTATTCTTGATTTTCGGTTTATTTTGTCCCCTAGAATCCCCCATTAAAATTTTTCTATTTAAAGAAAAAATGAAAACTCAAAACACGTTATAAATTTGACAGAAATTATATAAGATATTATATAAGGTGATGACCATTTTGAATGTTGTTTTTTTCGCAGGTTTGATGACCAATACCTTGTTGAAGAGATACGCGATGAGGCCCGTGGGAGTTTTTGGCGCGTTTCTATTCGCAGTGCCAAACGTTGCACTGGCGTTCGTGACAAATGTTTACGAAATGGCGTTTTTAAATTTCCTCCAAGGCATGGGGCTGGGTCTGATCGTCACCATTTGCAACACAAACTTTAATGCCTATTTCGTGAAGAGGAGAGCGCCAGTATGTAAATAATAACGTTGAGATGTTCTTAATTCTTCAGAAATATTGTTTTTTAGGTGATGAGCGCTGCACAAGTTATTATCGGCTTAGGTGGAATCGCGTATCCTGTATGCATCGAGAGATTGATGAAAGCTTATGGCTTTAGGGGTGAGTTTCTTATTTGGCAAAGAATTTTTCTTTTAAATTAGTTTTTTTAATTATGTCAAGTTTCATTAATAATTTTTCGTCAGGTTTGTGGTATTAAAATCAACACATTTTAATGTTTGCAAGGTATTTATTAAAACAAATCAAATTATTTCAGAAATTATCTGGAATTAAATAGTATACGTTTGAAAAATTATTTCTAATAAAAAATGGTACCTATACACTTGAAAAATTATTTGAAATTAAATAGTATACGATTGAAAAATAATCTACACTTGAAAAATAATTTGCAATTAAATCGAACATCAACAAATTATTAATTACAATCATTTCGACACATTTTAAATAGCTAATAATTCAATTAAAAATACTTTAATACACTCCTTAACATTACAATCAATACAAAAATGCAACAAAACATAGAATCACCAATATTCAAAATAGAAAATGGAGACTTTTGTCACTAATAAATTTGACATTTTTTGATTAATTAATTTTTATTTTTTTTATTTGATAGGCACAGCTTTGATGACTGGCGCGATGAGTTTGAACTGTATCGTCGGAATGACGATGATGCATCCGGTCGAGTGGCACACACGGAAACCGGAAGAGGTCCTCGCGGAGAGGGCGCGACAAAGAGAAGAACGGAAATTGTGTGGAATTTCTGTGCTCAGTCGACGTTCCAGCGAGATCACACACGTTCCAGCGAAAACAAGATGGAGTAGTCTAACCAGCCTCAAAGATGAAAGAGGCAGGCACGTTCCACTCCTAATCGAAACGATGAAAGTTAGTTTTTCGAACTAATTCACGATTTTTCAGGCACTTCCACTAATCTGATGAAAAAATAATTCGAACCAAAGCTACGAAAGATACAAAACACAGCAAAGATGTTTGCTATAAAATTTCAAGGTCATCCTCATTTTTCTGAATGGAAACAATTTTTGAAAAATATAGTTGCAACTATAATATTCAATTACTATAAAATTTCAAGGTCACCTTCATTTTTCTGAATGGAAACAATTTTTTAAAAATATAGTTGTAACTATAATACTCAGAATTTCTGAAGTCAAGGTTATGATCTATGAATCATTGAATTAGTTTTGACACAATTTACATAAAAAATATGTTATTTTAAAATTGATGACTTTGATTTTTTATGGTAAATAAACGTTTTTTTTTGGTGCTTTTTGTGTCTTTTGCAGCTGAGACTGGAAATCGATTAACTTTTCATCGGACTGTTGGAAGCGATTGAAAAATTGTTGTTTCTTTTTTCGAAACTAGGAGCCTGCACAAAGAGTGGCTTCGATTTCAGAGCTGGAGGGCAAAATCCAAAATCGAATAAAGTCCGGATCGATGCGTGAGCTCCTGACGAGACGCATGTCAGCCCTGTCAGCTTCGAGTTTGGCGAATTTAGTGACGAGCATCGGGACTGTCACGGACATGGCGCATTTCGAGAAACCGAAAGAGAAAAAATTGGAAAAGGGGGTCCAAGTGTCCATGAAAGACGAAGAAAACGCTAAAAAAAGCCAAATAAAGTACGTGAAAATATCCCAAATTCTAATTTTACATTTTATAAAACAGTAATTTTTAACACTTTACCGACCGGTAGCGGTTGATTAATCGGCTATCGGTCGGTAAACGTCGACCGATAAAACAGTTAATTAATAGTCTATCGGTCGGTAAGCGTTGGCCGGTAAAACAGTCGATTAATATTCTATCGGTCGGTAAAGTGTTAATTTTACATTTTATAAAACAGTAATTTTTAATTTTTTATATGGAATTAAGAGAGATTTTTTGAAGTTTCTAGATTAGAATGTTTAAGTTACGGTTCTTTGTAAGTGTTTGAGAGCTATGTGAATGAAAAGTGTGCTTTGAACGATACAGAACGATCTTCGAAGAGCTTCTGGAAATGTCACTGTTAAAGAATTGCGGTTTCATGAACATTTGCCTGGGCGTCAGCTTCGTCCTGTCGAGTGACTTCACGTTTTCTGGTCTTTTGCCACTGATGATGACTAGTAGTGGCTACACGAAAAGCCAAGCAGCCCTGGCGATCACTATATCAGCCGCTGCAGAACTGGCGTCCAAGATTTTAATTGCAATTTTCACTCTGGTGGTGCAAATCAAGGCGAAGTACATTTTCTTCTGTGCAATGATTTGCATGGGTTTCGCTAAAGCTGGTCAGTAAATAAAATAATTAATTTTTTTTAGTGTTTAATTTTTTTTTATTATTTTAGTTTTGTCAGAGAGTAAGTTTTATTTCAGTAAATTAAATATTAGACAACTGATTTTTTTCATTATTTAATTTTTTTTTTTATATTTTAGTTTTATCAGAGACACTATAAAATGGTACACAATTCAATTATTGGAGTATTATTTTATTTTAATTTATTTTGGAGTTTTAATTTGCAGGTTATTTAATTTACGACGACACCTTGACAGGTACGTTTATAATGATAGCGATTATAGGGATGGTTAGGTCGTGGCTGTTGGTACCTCAACCTTTGGTGATCATTGAAGACGTCAGTATTGATAAATTCGCCTCTGCTTATGGGATTTCTGGCGCTATCAGCGGTGTCATTTCCATAGTATTTGGTCCAATCGTTGGTGAGACTTCTAATTTTTAGTTAAATTTAATTACGAAATGCATAGAAGCATTCATTTAGAAAATTTAATTTTATCGAATTTAATGATTTTTAAATTTATCTGCGAGGAATAATTATTTACAGTAGTTAGAAATCTTGTGTTCTAGCACGGATTCAAACCTTCTCGAGCGAGGTTTCGACGCGCATGCGCGTCTGGTTGCCTGTATCAAAGGCGCCCACTAAGGTGCTTTTAACCCCAACGCGAATATGCCCAGTATTGCGATTAAACACGAAAAATTGTAATGGGGGATTCTATAGGCCAAAATAAGACGAAAATCAAGAATACCAATTTCCAAAATAAGGCTTCGTTTAAAAGTTATTAACGTTTAAAGTTGCGCCTGTGAAACGGGAACCGTGCGCGCTGCACACTTCAACTTCAAACGTTAATAACTTTTTAACGAAGCCTCAATCAAAAAATTACTATTCTTGATTTTCGTCTTATTTTGGCCCCCAGAATCTCCCATCAAAATTTTTCCCAGGGTTACCTAAACACCCTGTATAATACTTTCATTAACCCCTTAACGTTCATGCTCGAGTTTCACTGCTTTGAAAAACAATATTTGTTTAATCCAACGGTTTAAGGGATGCTAATATTTGTTTTCCTTCAAATTATACGTTAGATACAACATTGTAATGAAAAAAAAACCATATTTTTAGAAACAAATCCAATAAAGAAAACTGATCATTGTTGGTTAACCCGAAAAATATGAGCGTTAAGGGGTTAATATTCAGAGTCAGTTGTGTTTCAGAATATTCGAAGAAAATAATTACTGTTGTTTATTTTTATTATTTCTATTTCATTTTTTATTTTTCGTTATTTATTTGCAAACTTTACTTTTCATTCAGAAAATATTGCCTCAAGTGTATTTGGATCAGCTTTCTGAATGGTACAGTTTTTATAATAGTTATATCTTGCAAATTTTTAGCATAAAATTTTTTCAAACGACTACCAATGCTTCTCTAAGTAAATTTTTATATTTAACAAGCTCTATATTTAATTAGAAGATCAAATTTAAAGTGAATTATGAAAAAGATTGAGTTGTTATATTTTTTTTAATATTATTATTTGAATTTAAAAATTTGACTTTGATAATTTCAATTAAGATAGAATTCTCAATTAAATAAAATTTAATTACACACAAATATTTCTGTTTTAATTAATCACGACGGAAGTGAAAGTTAAAAAAAAACAATGGGGACTGTTAAGACGAACGGTTTTTTTTTTAGGGCTGATGAAGGACTGGACGAACAGTTTTGTGGTCTGCCAGCTTGCCCTTATACTAATGAACGTCCTGTTCGTTATTCCGTGGGCAATACAGTTCCTTTCAGTAGATTTACCAAAGTGGAGGAACGAGAGGGCGGATAAAGTTGCTGCCCAAACTTCCGGTGCCCTTTCTGCAGATTGACGCAAATGGAGAGAGAAAGAGGAAGACCTTTGTATATAAAGCGCGTTAAAGTACTCGAGCGTAGGTTATTTTTATCGAAAATATTCAATCCTCATTGACGATTGTCAACTTTCGACAGACAATTTTCAAACTCAAAATGTGATGTGAAATGCAATGTAGAAATTATTTTAAATACACTCGCCGCTAGTATCAGGTCGTCATACAATTTTTTTTTTTATTAGCACTTAATTTATTATAAAAAAAAAAACTAATTTCTTTCCTTGTGGTCAAATTGATTCATTTTGAAAAAATTTATAATTTCTGCACGAATAATTTGATAAATATTTTATATTTAGAGTGATAGGGTGAAAGAAAATGCTACGTAATTTTATTGGAATTAGTAATTCTTGACAATTTCTAATTATCGAAACGAAATTATTAGAATTTCTAATCAATATTAGATTTTTCTATTTTTTGTTTTGTTATTTTTAGTACGATTTTGGTTTCGTTTTAAATCAGAATTTATTCAAAGCTTTAACTTTTATAAATTCAGGCAGTCTTCTAATTAATAATAGAAACTAATTTCTTCCCTTTTGGGGAAATTAAAAATTTTATATTGAAAATAATAGGATGAAGAAAAATGCTACTTATGAATAATACTTTTATTAGAATTAATAATTCGTGACAATTTGTAATTATCGAAACGGAATTATTAGAATTTCTAATATATATTAGATTTTTCTATTTTTTGTTTTGTTATTTTTAGTACGATTTTGGTTTCGTTTCAAATCTGAATTTATTCAAAGCTTTAAGTTTTATAAATTCCAGGCACTCTTCTAATTAATAATAGAAACTAATTTCTTCCCTTTTGGGGAAATTAAAAATTTTATATTGAAAATAATAGGATGAAGAAAAATGCTACTTATGAATAATACTTTTATTAGAATAATTTGTGACAATTGTAACTATTTTATTTTTTTTACTGATTCAGGGCCAATTGATTTCGTTTTGGAAGTGTTTAGAAATTGGTTTGTATTTTTTTTTTTTTTTTTAAATTTAGTGTAAAAATTCTATTTCAAGCGCGAACGTCTTGACTGCTATTGTTTCGACGTTCGATTTTTATTTGGAAGCCGTCCACCCTTTTGAGAATTATGTCGACCTTCAGCCGGAAGTCCTTTTCCGTGAGATCCGACAGGATCCTGTAGTTCCGCAGGATCGTCGACAATAAAACCTTCAACTTCAACATGGCGTATTTCCTTCCCACGCAGGACCTAAATAAAATCGCAATTTAATCTCAAAAAAAATAGTTCTCAACAATTTTTGAAATACTACCCTCTTACAGGACATTTTTATGTTTATCAAATTGTATTTATTTATTTATGGTGTAGGAAAAAGGTTATTTAATAATGAGAATATTTAGTTTTTAATTGGATAGTAAAAATTAACTATTTTATAATATTTAATTAAAAATCATATTTAATTATTGATCATTTTCACTGGATATATGAAAATTTCTCTATTATTAAATAGGATTTTTAAATAGGATTTTTAATAGAATACAATTTATTTATTCGATGAAATCATTTTTTCAAATTCTTTAAATATCAATATTTTATGAAATTTTTATTTAATAATAAGAATATTTAGTTTTTCATTGAATAGTAAAAATTAACTAAAATAGAATAGAATTTATTTATTCGATGAAATCATAGATAATTCGTTAATTATTCTTTCAAATTCTTTAAATATCAATAATTTATGAAATTTTGATTTAATAATAAAAATATTTAGCCTTTAATTGAATAGTAAAAATTAACTAAAATAGAATAGAATTTATTTGTTTGATGAAATCATAGATAATTTGTTAATTATTCTTTCAAATTCTTTAAATATTAATATTTTATGAAATTTTGGTTTATTATTGGGAATAAATGTGATGTTTCATTTTATTTATGGGTTGAAAATAATTGGTGGCTCACCTGGGCCCTGCACTGAAGGGGATGTAGGAATAGTAATGCCTGTTTTGCATTCGTTCTGGTAAAAAGTTGTCAGGATCGAATACGTAAGCGTTTGGGTAGAATTCTTCTAATCGGTGGACCTTGTAGGGTGAAATTAGGACTGTAGAACCCTTTGGTAACACGTAATTTTTAGTCACTGTAAAAAAAAACATTAAACAATATTGTCAAATTGGTCTTCTTTTAATGATGTTTAATTATTGGCTCTTTATATGTGTTGTTTGATTCTTTTAATATGGAAAATAATTCAGAAATTAAATTTTTTTATTTCACTATATTTTTTAGAATGGGAGATAATTTTATTATTCTATAAAATTTGATAATTTAAATTTGTACAATCTTTTGGTAATTTTTAGTGGCTGTAAATAATATAGAAATTAGGTATATTTTTAAAAACTGAAGATAAATGTTATTATTCTATCAAATTTTATAATTCAAAATTCTTACAATCTTTTGGTAATTTTTAGTGACTGTAAATAATTCAGAAATTAAGTATATTTTAAAAAATTGAAGGTTTTTTATTAATTTATCAAATTTTATAATTTAAAATTGCACAACATTTTGGTGATTTTTAATCATTCTAAAAAAAAAAAAATAAAATAATATTGTCAAGCTGGTCCTCTTTTAATTAGTATTTAATATAGCAGAGATAAAGTTTAATGATATTTAATCACAGGTTTTTTATGTGCATTAATTATTTAATTGCTTAAACATGACAAATGAAACAACAATTAAATTTTAATATTTCACTATATTTTTTAGAATAAAAATGAATTGTATTATTTTATAAAATTTGGTAATTTAAAATTACACAATCTTTTGGTAATTTTTAGTGACTGTATATAGTTCAGAAATTAAGTTTATTTTTAAAAATTGAAGATTTTTATTATTCTATCAAAGATAATTTAAAATTGTACAATTTTATAGTAATTTTCAGTGACTAAATAATTCAGAAATGAAATTTCCATATTCTAGTATATTTTAAAAAATTGAAGATAATTTTTTATATCTTATAAAATATTTTATAATTTGATAATATTTGATAATTTAAAATTGCACAACCTTTTAGTCATTTTTAGTGACTGTAAATGAAGTTTCCATAATTATTCCATTAAATAATTCAGAATTGAAGTTTCCATATTCCAATATATTTTTAAAAATTCAAACTAAATTTTATCATTCTATAAAATTTGATAATTTAAAATTGCACAACCTTTTGGTAATCTTCAGTGCCAGTAAATTAAGTTTCCATATTCTAATATATTTTTTAAAACAGTAAATAATTCTATTTTCCCATCAAATTTAACAATTTAGAATTGTACAATCTTCTATCAAGATATAATTTTTAATAACTTTAAAAAAAATTTAATTAGAACAATATTGTCAAGCTAATCACCTCTTAATTAACATTCAATATACCAAAAATAAAGTTTCAAACACAAAAAAGGAGCCAAATGATTCAAAAACGAAAATTTCAATTTCTCCAAAACAGAAGATTTTTTTATTAAGAAAATTTTATTATCGTATAAAACATAATATTCACCAATTTGCACGTCTTCTTTGAGCATCCTCGCGATAACAGGCACAGGTGGAAAGAGTCTCAAAGTCTCAAGAATCACTCTTTCCAGATACTTCATCCTCAAAGTGTCTTGAAACGTGCAAGGCCTGTTAGACCCGTTGAAAATTTCATTCAGTTCCTCGTACACTCGTTCCTAGTATCATTCCAAAGCATACAAAACTACATTCAAATCTGAAATCGCCTGAATCAGTCAGAAGCTATCCATCGAGATCGATAGATATCGCAGAAACAATAGCAATCATGGTGCAAAATAGTTGTCACAACTTTCAAGGTTAGGGAAAAATAAATTTTTTGTAAATATGGGGGACGTAGCACGTGGGAAAAATTTGTTCATAAGGATGTGCCAAATGTGTCACACCAGTGACCCAAATGGCAAACACAGAGTGGGCCCTAATCTTTATGGAGTTGTGGGCAAAACCTGTGGCTGTAAGTACTCGAAATATTATTATACACTTCAGTCCCACAATTTCAATATTTAATTATTTCGTATCAAAATATTTTTTTCTTGTAATTTACTGTTAAAATTCTCAATTGATTAGCTAATCCAGGGTTCAACTACACCGAATCAATGAAGACAAAGGGCATAGTGTGGAACGAGACCACTTTAAACACCTACTTGGAGTTCCCCATGCAGTTCATTCCTGGCACAAGAATGATATTCAATGGCGTCAGAAGAGAACAAGATCGAAAGGATATAATAGCTTATTTAGCAACGTTGAAATGAAAATTCAAATAACTTTTACGTGTGAAATATTCTGTACAGTCGAAAAATGTGTTACAGTGTCGAATGGAAGTAAACAATTACGATTAAAACTACCCAGGAAAGCCATTTTTCTTTTCAGAGGCTCGTTTCTATTTCTATTTCACTCACCTGGATGTCCTGGTGAATTCCAAGGGCGCAGAGAACGAAACTGGAACCTGCAGCCGTGGTATCGTGTCCCTAAAAATCATAAAAATGATTACAAATTTTTTTTGGGGTAAATTCTCAAGGAAAAGTAAAATTCGAATTATGGAGGCAACCCTTTACGGGGAACGCCATTTTATTCGTTCTGGTGCGTGCATGTGGCCGCTAGATGGCGCCTCACGCCTCAATTCTGTGACCGCCATGACACATATTTACCATTAGGATACTAGAAAAATTAATTCTCGAGTTAACACTTTACCGACTGTTTTACCGGCCAACGCTTACCGACCGATACCCTATTAATCAACTGTTTTATCGGTCGACGTTTACCGACCGATAGCCGATTAATCAACTGTTTTATCGGTCGGTAAAGTGTTAAGACGTAGACAAAAATGAGTTTGAGTAGAATTTATGAATTTTCACAACGTTACAGAATCAGAATTGAAAGAAATTTTAGGTTATGTAGCTTACAATGGTCTGAAATCAAAATTCTAGTTTTGTGGAATATTAGATTAATTAGGTTTTGATGTGGGAGTGAACGTGTTAGGGGAATACCCAAATGGAGATCAACATAAAGTGACTAATACAACTGACTAACTAACTGACTAACTAACTAACTAACTAAATAACTAACTGACTAACTAACTAACTAACTAAATAACTAACTGACTAACTAACTAGCTAACTGACAAACTAACTGACTAACTAACTAACTAACAAACTATCTAACTAACTGCAAACTAACAAACTAACTGACAATCTAACTATCTAACTGACAAATTAACTAACTAACTGACAATTTAACTATCTATTTAACCAACTATCTAACTATCTAACAAACTAACTAACTAACAAATTCACTAACAAACTAACTAACTAACTGCAAACTGCCAAACTACCAAACTACCAAACTACCAAGCTACCAAACTACAAAACTACCAAGCTACCAATCTACCAAGCTACCAAGCCACCAAACTACCAAACTACAAAACTACAAAACTAACTAACTGCAAACTAACAAACTAACTGGCAATCTAACCATCTAACTGACAAATTAACTAACTAACTGACAATCTAACTATCTATTTAACCAACTATCTAACTATCTAACAAACTAACTATCTAACAAACTAACTAACTAACAAACTCACTAACAAACTAACTAACTAACTACCAAACTACCAAACTACCAAGCTACCAAACTTCCAAACTACCAAAGTAACGAACTCACTAACAAACTAACTAACTAACTGCAAACTACCAAACTACCAAGCTACCAACCTACAAAACTACAAAACTACCAAACTAACTAACTAACTGCAAACTACCAAGCTACCAAGCTACCAAGCTACCAATCTACCAAACTACAAAACTACAAAACTAACAAACTCACTAACAAACCATCTAACTAACTGCAAACTAACAAACTAACTGACAATCTAACTATCTAACTGACAAACTAACTAACTAACTAACTAACTGACAATCTAACTAACTAACTGACATACTAACTAACTAACAAACTAATAAAAAGTCACTAACAAACTAACTAACTGCAAACTACCAAACTACCAAGCTATCAAACTACCAAGCTACCAAACTACCTAGCTATCGAACTACCAAGCCACCAAACTACCAAGCTATCAAACTACCAAGCTATCAAATTACCAAGCTATTAAACTACCAAGCTACCAAACTACCAAGCTATTAAATTACCAAGCTGTCAAACTACCAAGCTACCAAGCTACCAAACTACCAAAGTTACATAAGCTACCAAAGCTACCAAAACTACCAAAGCTACGAAACTACCAAGCTACCAAACTGCCAAAGCTACATAAGCTACCAAAGCTATCAAACTACCAAGCCACCAAACTACCAAGCCACCAAACTACCAAGCTACCAAACTACCAAGCTATCAAACTACCAAGCTATCAAACTACCAAGCTGCCAAACTACCAAGCTACCAAGTTACCATACTACCAAAGCTACCCAAACTACAAAAGCTACAAAAGCTACCAAACTACCAAGCTACAAAACTACCAAGCTACCAAAGCTACCAAAGCTACCTAAGCTACCAAAGCTACCAAAGCTACCAAAGCTACCAACCTACCAACCTAACAAACTATCCAACCAACTATCTAACAAACAAACTTCATTTTTACCATTTCCATACCTCGAACATAATAGTATCGACTTCCTCCTTAACCTCCTCGTCCGTGAGATTGGAACCAGCCCTAGCAAGCTCCAGCATCAGATCCAAGAAAGCTAGCCTCTTCTTCTCCCCCACATCGTTGTCATCGATGTCATCCAAATCGTCCCTGACATAGCGCATCTTCGTCTTATCGTCATCCTTCACCTCTGAACTCGAATCATTCTTCAGGGGAGTCTCTTGGGGACTTGCAGCCTCCTCCAAGCTGATCTTTTTGTAGTCTTCTTTCTTCTTTTTGATCACCTCCGTGGTCAGACTGTGAATAGTACCCAGCAGCTTCTTCTGTTGCTTCGCGTAGTTTGAGAATTGGAAGAGGAAATCGCATCTCAGGTTCAGCTGGTATTGACGACGGTGGATCAGATCGCACATTCTGTGTTGGGAAGATTTATCAAGGTATATTTGAATAGTTTTGTAGGGAAATTTTTAGTATTTGTGTGGTTTTTATTACTTCATTACAGCCATGGCGTAGTCGTAACCACATTTTTGTTTTTCAGTCTCTTTTAGTCCCATTGCTGTTTCTAATAGGATGTTGACAGTGACTTCTGATAAATAATCGTGGCAATCGAAGTCCTTTCCCACTTTGTCGCGTAGTCGAATCACCAGGTCTCTGCTGTTTTCGTAAAACAGTGGAACGAACGATTTTAACACGTTCAAGTGGAACGTGGGTGCTATGATCTTGCGGTGGGTTCGCCATTTTTCACCGCTGTTTATTAGTAGACCATCTCCCAACCATGGTTTGAAGAATCTGAGAAATGAAAATACGTGTTAAATAATTTAACTATCGAATTTCAAATTAATACAAATTTTTTTAAAATTTTAAAAGAGCTACTTGAAATATTGAATTTTGAATGTTGCAATTCAGGGGTTCAAGTATTGTTTTTTGCTGGGTAAAATAATTATTTATAATTTAAAAATTTGTCAATATTGGAAGCATTTAAAAATATTCAATTTTAAATATTGAAATGCAAGGGTCAAATATTATTTTTTGCTGGGTAAAATAATTATTTATAATGTGAAGATTTATCAATATTGGAAGCATCTTAATATATTAAATTTTAAATATTGAAATGCAAGGGTTCAAATATTATTTATTGCTGAGTAAAATAATTATTTGTAATCTGAAGATTTATCAATATTGAAAGCATCTCAAAATATTAAATTTTAAATATTGCAATTCAGTGGTCTGGGTTTGGTTAATATTATTTATTGTTAGGTGAAATAATTATCTGTAATCTGATGATTTGTTAATATAGAAGCATCTTAAAATATTCAATTTTAAATATTGAAATGCAAGGGTTCAAATATTATTTATTGTTAGATAAAATAATTGTTTTTAATCTGAAAATTTGCCAATATAGAAGCATCTTAACACTTTACCGACCGGTAGCGGTTGATTAATCGGCTATCGGTCGGTAAACGTCGACCGATAAAACAGTTGATTAATACGCTATCGGTCGGTAAGTGTTGGCCGGTAAAACAGTCGATTAATAGGCTATCGGTCGGTAATGTGTTAAAATCTCAAATTTGGAATATTGCAATTCAGTGCTTAGAATATTATTTACAGCCAAAACAATCACCTGTAATCTGAAGATTTATCAATATGAACATTGCTGCTTAGAATAATTTCGACATCTTGAGGATGATAGAGGAAAACGAACAGTTTCTTTCCTAGAAAGGCACGAACCACAGGTCCGAACACATCGTATTTTTCCAGCTCGCTCAAAACGTCATTTGGATGCAGGCCAACAGTTAATAACGCGTTCCCTATAAAGGGTACTGTTTTTGGCCCTGAAAACCAAATCCAAATTAATGGTGAACAAACAAATTAATGTTAAATATTAATATACACAGCTTCGATATATTTACATTTCACGTTTTACATGCTCTGTTTACTTTAAAATAAAACACAGTGCAAGGTATAATATTTAATATCCTCAGAGACAATATTTTTAAAATGAAATTAATTTCAATTTTAAATTTTAAATTACAGCACTTGAAACTGATTTATTAAAATTGATCTACTAAATATAATATTTAAAATTCAAATTTAAATCAATTTTAGTAAAGATTGATTCAAATTTATATTTCAAATATAGCATTTAAGATTGAAAATCAATTTTATTTTATAATATAGTATTTAAAATTTAAATTTGAATCAATTTTAGTAAAATTTAAAATTTAAACCATTTTTAGTAAAGAAATGAAATAAATAATAAAACAGTAATAAAAAATATTTTTAAAATAATAAAATTGTTATTTCTAATGCAATATAAATATAGTACACTATTCCCATGAAAATTAAAATGTCAAAAAACCAGCATTCCCACTTATTGTTTCGACATTTAATAACAAATATACTCAGTCAATTTGCATGTTACTTTCCAATGAATTTCAAAATAATTTTTACAATTTTAATCATCGATTTGATGTTGAATAATTCTCTATTGAGTTTACTTACCTGGAATTTTGCTTCCTAAGCGAACAATTCGCGAATTTTCGATATAAAAGTAGATGGCAACTAATGTTGTAGTGATGGCGACAAGTGAATAGAAAAGAGCAGTTTGCCAGTACGACTGAGACAATAAAATCGCCTCCATTGTTGAACGTTGCACTCGTGAAACTGTTCTAAAAATATAAACAAAATAAAATATTAAAATATAACACTTTTACTTTAACAATCAAATACAAATATACAGGGTGTTCGGCCACCTCTAGCAAAAATTTTAATGAGCGATAGTAGAGGCAAAAATAAGACGAAAATCAAGAATACCAATTTGTTGATGGAAGCCTCGTTAAAAAGTTATTAACAATTAAATTCAAAAATTTCAAATCGTTCTGGAAAAATTATTTTCGGTTGCGGGGGTCAACTACAATCATTTTTGGTGAGTACACATACCTCCGAAATCCTATCTACTTTCGAGAAAAAAAATCGAGTAGGTGCTGAAATTTTTCGGCGAAAAAAAATTTTTCAAATCGTTTTAAAAAAATTATTTTCGGTCGCGGGGATCAATTACAATCATTTTTTGTCATTACACATACCTCCGAAATCGTACGCACCTTTCGAGAAAAAAATTCCTTACTGAAAATCCAATCAGGCGCCTAAATTTTTCAACGGAGAAAAAAAAATTGCAAATCGGTTGTGGAAAAATTATTTTCGGTCGCGGGGGTCAATTGCAATCAGTTTTTGTCATTAGACATACCCGCGAAATCCTGCCCACTTTCGAGAAAAAAAATAGAGAAGGTGTGAAATTATTCGAGAAAATTAAAAAATTGCAAATCGTTGTGGAAAAATTATTTTCGGTTGTAGGGTTCAATTGCAGTCACTTTTGGTGAATAGACATACCCCCGAAATCTTGCGCATTTTCGAGAAAAAAAATTCAGTAAGTGGCGGCACTTTAAACGTTAATAACTTTTTAACGAAGCTTCCATCAACAAATTGGTATTCTTGATTTTTGTATTATTTTGGCCTCTACTATCGCTCATTAAAATTTTTGCTAGAGGTGGCCGAACACCCTGTATTTGCAAATGATTTTTTCATTTATTGTCGTTGTTAGATCACTATTATACTTACATTACAAAAACAAAATATACTTTGTTAACATTGAAATAAAGAAAACGACGATTCACAATTGTTCAAAGTTTTCTATAAATTTTCCAGTTGAATTTTCGATGATTTTTAAGTAATTTTCAAGTAAACTAACGCCTTGCACTGGATGACTGTTCGCGTACCCATTCCACTGATCACAAAATTGACGAATATGAATAGTTTAAGCATCGACAGCTTTTATATTCTCGTTTGCATAAAAGTTTCCGTTCCTTTAAATTAATTATACGGTGACCTCAGCTTTCCCAGAGTGACGCATTTGCTTTGTAAATTGTCATTCGTATCGAATATTGCCATAAATCAATAATATCTGCGCGAAAGTTGAACTTGGATTAACCTTCGCAAAGTTTCAATCATCGAGCATTGTTAGAAAATTGCAAAAAGAAGTTTTGAAAATTGTCACGTTCATTTCATGATAAATAGAATTATTCTAGCATGTTATTTCAGTACTTAGTATAGTCCTTCGTCAATATTGGTATTGGTTAGGTTAAATACAAAATTAAAAATGGTTAAAGTATTGTTGAGGTTATTCAAGGTGTTATTTACAACAAGGTCAAGGTCATCGAAGTTGGTTTAGAAAAATAACCATCTGTGGACGCCATTTTGGCCATTTTGTAGTTTTTTCGTTAAATAAATTAGTTCATTTCTTGTGGAAAATTATAAATCGAATTTTTCAATTTATTTTCATGGGAAAATACAAAATGTAGAATGTAGAATAAATATATTATATTAAATTTAAAATGTTTAGATGATCTAATATATATATATTTTATTTTTAGGTGACTGCAAGTGTCGACTAGAATTCTTCAATTTTCTCACAGGAAAACCAAAAATGTAGAATGTAAAATAAAAAATGTAGTTTATAGAATAAATATATTATATTATATTTAAAATATTCGATTGATCTAATAAATATACTTTATTTTTAGGTGACTGCAAGTGTGGACTGGAATTCTTCAATTTTCTCAGAGGAAAATATAAAATGTAGAATGTAGAATAAATATATTATATTACATTTAAAATATTTAGTTGATCTAATAGATATTTTTTATTTTTAGGTGACTGCAAGTGTGGATTAGAATTCTTCAATTTTTTCAAAGGAAAATAATAAATGTAGTAAGTAGAATAAATATATTATATTTAGTTGATCTAATATATATAGATATATATTTTATTTTTAGGTGACTGCAAGTGTGGACTAGAATTCTTCAATTTTCTCACAGGAAAACCAAAAATGTAGAATGTAAAATAAAAAATGTAGTTTATAGAATAAATATATTATATTATATTTAAAATATTCGATTGATCTAATAAATATACTTTATTTTTAGGTGACTGCAAGTGTGGACTGGAATTCTTCAATTTTCTCAGAGGAAAATATAAAATGTAGAATGTAGAATAAATATATTATATTACATTTAAAATATTTAGTTGATCTAATAGATATTTTTTATTTTTAGGTGACTGCAAGTGTGGATTAGAATTCTTCAATTTTTTCAAAGGAAAATAATAAATGTAGTAAGTAGAATAAATATATTATATTTAGTTGATCTAATATATATAGATATATATTTTATTTTTAGGTGACTGCAAGTGTGGACTAGAATTCTTCAATTTTCTCAAAGGAAAACCAAAATTGTAGAATGTAAAATAAAAAATGTAGATTATAGAATAAATATATTATATTATATTTAAAATATTCGATTGATCTAATAAATATACTTTATTTTTAGGTGACTGCAAGTGTGGACTGAAATTCTTCAATTTTCTCAGAGGAAAATATAAAATGTAGAATGTAGAATAAATATATTATATTACATTTAAAATATTTAGTTGATCTAATAGATATTTTTTATTTTTAGGTGACTGCAAGTGTGGATTAGAATTCTTCAATTTTTTCAAAGGAAAATAATAAATGTAGTAAGTAGAATAAATATATTATATTTAGTTGATCTAATATATATAGATATATATTTTATTTTTAGGTGACTGGAAGTGTGGACTAGAATTCTTCCATTTTCTCAAAGGAAAACCAAAATTGTAGAATGTAAAATAAAAAATGTAGATTATAGAATAAATATATTATATTATATTTAAAATATTCGATTGATCTAATAAATATACTTTATTTTTAGGTGACTGCAAGTGTAGACTGAAATTCTTCAATTTTCTCAGAGGAAAATATAAAATGTAGAATGTAGAATAAATATATTATATTACATTTAAAATATTTAGTTGATCTAATAGATATTTTTTATTTTTAGGTGACTGCAAGTGTGGATTAGAATTCTTCAATTTTTTCAAAGGAAAATAATAAATGTAGTAAGTAGAATAAATATATTATATTTAGTTGATCTAATATATATAGATATATATTTTATTTTTAGGTGACTGCAAGTGTGGACTAGAATTCTTCAATTTTCTCAAAGGAAAACCAAAATTGTAGAATGTAAAATAAAAAATGTAGATTATAGAATAAATATATTATATTATATTTAAAATATTCGATTGATCTAATAAATATACTTTATTTTTAGGTGACTGCAAGTGTGGACTGGAATTCTTCAATTTTCTCAGAGGAAAATATAAAATGTAGAATGTAGAATAAATATATTATATTACATTTAAAATATTTAGTTGATCTAATAGATATTTTTTATTTTTAGGTGACTGCAAGTGTGGATTAGAATTCTTCAATTTTTTCAAAGGAAAATAATAAATGTAGTAAGTAGAATAAATATATTATATTTAGTTGATCTAATATATATAGATATATATTTTATTTTTAGGTGACTGCAAGTGTGGACTAGAATTCTTCAATTTTCTCAAAGGAAAACCAAAATTGTAGAATGTAAAATAAAAAATGTAGATTATAGAATAAATATATTATATTATATTTAAAATATTCGATTGATCTAATAAATATACTTTATTTTTAGGTGACTGCAAGTGTGGACTGGAATTCTTCAATTTTCTCAGAGGAAAATATAAAATGTAGAATGTAGAATAAATACATTATATTACATTTAAAATATTTAGTTGATCTAATAGATATTTTTAATTTTTAGGTGACTGCAAGTGTGGATTAGAATTCTTCAATTTTTTCAAAGGAAAATAATAAACGTAGAAGTAGAATAAATATATTATATTTAGTTGATCTAATATATATAGATATATATTTTATTTTCAGGTGACTGCAAGTGTGGACTAGAATTCTTCAATTTTCTCACAGGAAAACCAAAAATGTAGAATGTAAAATAAAAAATGTAGATTATAGAATAAATATATTATATTACATTCAAAATATTCAATTGTTCTAATGTATATATATATTGTATTTTTAGATAACTGCAATTGTGGAAATTTTCCCCCTAATATGGACGATTTTCCTCCACAACTGTTGTTAACATGATTCATACCCTTCAATTTTAAATTATTTTCATGACAAATGAGGGTGTAAAAATTAATACACGAGTACACACAGACAATGACGAATAAAACAACAGAAAGACGGTTGCAACGATCGTTCTTTGATCGTCGAGGTGGAAACGAGCACTTCCGGAAATGACGTAGCAACCTGCTTCCACCCCCTGCATGGAACGTGTCCGGAAATCGACCCTCGAGGATAATAAAAAATGAAATAGAACAAAGAGAGCCTGTAGAGGGAGCGAGAAATGGGAGAACCCCTTTGTCGAGGTCGAGCGAGTGTAGGAGCAATTTTACGAAATTACAAAATTATCGATGGACGCCAAATCGACCACCCTTTATTACATCGACGCCCAAGCAACGCTTCCTGGACGATTCGATTATTCACAGAAGGCAAACACGCAGAGAAAAATAGTCATTTCCTGGTTAGAAACAGAAATCAACGACCAAAAATTCATTATTCAATAAATGGACGCCATATTGAAAGAAGACATTATTAAAAGTGTCTTAAAAAAAGAAAAAAAACACTGGAGGGAGAAATAAATTTAAAATCGAGATAAAAACAGAGGAAAATTAAGAAATTTTGTGAAAATTTTGTGTTAAAATAATTAAATTAAGTTTTTTTAAAAATAGAAGCCTTAAAACAATATTATATATTCGATAAATGAATACTATATTAAAAAGTGTCACAAAAAAAAGACGAAAACAACGAAAGAAATAAATTTAAAAAGAATTTGGATTTATAGATACGAAGAATTAAAATTAAAACAGAGAAAGAAACTAAAAAATATTTTCAAAATAATAAAATTGTTATTTCTAATGCAATATAAATATAATATAATATAGCAATGAAAATTGAAATGATAAAAAAGGAGGGAAATTAAGAAATTTTGAGAAAATTTTGTGTTAAAATAGTTAAATTAATTTTCGCAAAAACAGAAATAAATTTAAAAATCATTTGGATTTATAGATACGAAGAATTAAAATTAAAACAGAGAAAGAAACTAAAAAAAATTTTTAAAATAAGAAAATTGTTATTTCTAATGCAATATAAATATAATATAATATAGCAATGACAAATTGAAATGATAAAAAAGGAGGGAAATTAAGAAATTTTGAGAAAATTTTGTGTTAAAATAGTCAAATTAATTTTCTCAGAAACTGGAATAAATTTAAAAAGAATTTGAATTTGTAGAAACGAAGAATTAAATTTAAAATTAAAAGAAGATTAAAGAAACTAAAAAATTTTAGTAAAGAAGATTGATTCAAATTTAAATTTCAATTATAGCATTTAAAATTCAAATTTGAATGAATTTTGTGCTATAATATATTATTTAAAATTTAAAAAGAAATTGGATTTATAGAAACGAAAAATTAAAATGAAAAGAAGAATAAAAAAACTATAAAATTTTAGTAAAGAAGATTGATTCAAATTTAAATGTCAAATATAGCATTTAAAATTCAAATTTGATTCAATTTTATACTACAATATATTATTTAAAATTTAAAAAGAATTTGGATTTATAGAAACGAAAAATCAAAATTAAAAGAAGGTTAAAGAAACTATAAAATTTTAGTAATGAAGATTGATTCAAATTTAAATTTCAAATATAGCATTTAAAATTCAAATTTGATTCAATTTTGTACTATAATATAGCATTTAAAATTCAAATTTGAATCAATTTTAGTAAAATATTTTTTATCCAATAATATA